TGAATAATTATTTATATGGGAGTTTGCAGCAGTGACAACAGCAAACTCACACACTAATTTTTAGCGATGCCCTGGTTGTAGTAGCCTATATAGTGAATGGCTCAGTTAAGGTTCCCCCCACACAGTTTGTGTAGTTGGTATGTTCCACGTGTTCCATCGATATACTGTAAGCGGAATGTACAATGCATTCGCTAGTAAATAACCGCAGCACGAGAGTATCTTTGTTAACACGCAGATTAACAGAAACACAACACTGCTGTGTGAAAGGACTGGTGTTCTGTCGATTTGTGCTACCCTGTCAGATTTTGCTTCCTCCCATTAAAACAGTGGGTACAATTCGACAATGAAAAATGCTACCTGTAAAATGATGGTTTATTAACGTCTACCCCTACCACAACCCTAAACCTACCCTTACAGTAATGCAAATACAGTAATTGTGTGTTATATACAGCTACAGGAAACCAACAATAAATAATTTTTTCTACCTATTAGATTGTGTTGTACCCCAACCCTAAACCTACCCTTACAGTAATGCAGATAACATTAAATACTGTTGTTCAGCGTGAGAAAAAGGACACAATACTGATGTGCACATGTGCAGTAAACCCTGGTAGGACAATCTGACGGGTAGGATAAAATGTCAGGACACCTGTTAACGTTCTGTAATGTCATACAGTGAGAGTTCAGTAACTTGCTTGGGTGTAATCTGTGTGTCATCTGTGTTCCATAAATAGTGCTGCTTCAAAGTCTCAATTTTAAATCTGGGGATGGAAAAATAGGAATTGTCCTATTGCTTAAATGTGATCATTAAACTTTATACGGCTGTGATTTAACTAATTAAACGCGAGCATGTTATGTTTCAAAATAAAAACGCAGTTAGCAATCATCAAATAACCCACATTTATGCCAACATGCCGTGTTGTTTTGATCTACTGATGATGAATAATTAATATTTTGTGTGATTTATGGTGTTTAAATCATACCTGTAAACTTACATTTCAGCCAGGAAAGTTTTGATGGCATTTTCCTTTCATATTACCTCCGTATAATGCCCGTAATAACGTAGTGTTTACTTTATGTAATGGCTATATAATTCTGCTGTTCCACAAGCGCCACCTTGTGGCAAATAGTTAATTTGCATATTCTCTTATATTCACATTTTACGCAGAACAGTGTTGTGAATGTTAACTGGCATATTAACAAGACAAAAAAATTAAATTTGACAAATAATTGTTAGGAAGCTTCAAAAAAGACGTTTTCTGGGGTCGGGGGGCCTACTGTAATGCTGTAGCCCAGGGGCCTTTGGTTATCTTAAGGCACCCCTGATCCTGCCCTAAACTCACACCACTGGTTGCAATGTTGATATTGCTGGTTGGGATGCTCAAACCTCAAAAAATTATGCTCTACCTCCAGCCAGCTGTGCTTACGGAACGAGCAGTGCCTTGTTGTTCCTTCAGAAGGCTTTCCAGAACCTTTACTCTCTCTGCTCCTCGCTGGTGAAATGAGCCGCCAACATCCACCCGAGCTGCAGAATCCATTGCAATTTTCAAAAAGCAACTGGAGACACTTTTTCTGCTAGCACTTAAAGAAATAGTTCACCCAAAAATCAAAATTCTGTCATTAATTTACTCACCCTCATGTCGTTCCAAACCGTTAGACCTTCGTTCATCTTCGAAACACAAATTAAGATTTTTTATGAAATCTGAGAGCTTTCTTACCCTCCATAGACAACGACGCAACTACCACGTTCAAGGCCCAGAAAGGTAACATCAGTAACATCAGTGGTTCAACCGTAATTTTATGAAGCTATGAGAATACTTTTTGTGCATAAAGAAAACAAAAATAATGACTTTATTCAACAATTATTCTCATCCGGGTCATTCGAGTGCCACGACACACAACCCTAAACCATAACTCCTCTGCTCTAGCTTTTTTGCTAATCCAGCAGTCTAATAAATGTGGCACTGTATATTGCTAATATTGCTTGCTCGGTGACAAATCGCTTATGCTTCTCTATGCTTTGAATAAATGCATCTGCTAAATGCATAAATGTAAACCAAATGCCTTGCTTGATTAGCACAAACCATACCCATTATCTTTCTGCTATAATGTATATGCATTTATGCCAGTGCATATCATTTTCATTTTGCAGGGTTTTGTTATCTACAGTGACTTACTGTTCATTGCAGGTGCATTTTTATCAGAATGCATTCAAACCATGACCTTGGTGTTGCTAGCGCTATTGCTCCTGGAGCTGATATACAGGAACCTGCCTGCATTACACCTGACCGAACTCAGGTGCTACGTATTATTTTCAGATCAGGACCCAAATTTAAACATGCTTGTTTTTCATAATGCATATTCATGGAACAAATGCAACTCTTTGTTTCCTGAAATATAATTATGCTTTTCTGATACTTGCCCTTAGAGTCTTATGTTTGAAAAGACAAATGATAAGACAAGGAGAGCTAGAGCATCTGATGCCCTTGTATTGTCTCAGACTCCCAAGACACTTGCTCATTTCCCAGCAGGCCTAAAAGGAGAACAGGATAAAAACAGGATTTTTTAAAATAAAATTCAAACAGATTTCACAACTTTAATAAACATAAACTGACATAAAATCAACCTTTGAACTACATTGGTCCTTCTGGGAATGTAGATATGCCGCTATATTTTATTTAGTTTTTTATTAACCTTCAGCATTATTATAGGTTCCTAAAGCAGGGTTGTTATAGCTAACTAAAGCAAAAAAACAAAAAAAAAAAAGTTACTTGAAATAAAAAACACTGAAATGAGCGGTCATATGTCAGTGTCATAACTTTACTAACATAATATATAGACAAAGCAAAACTATGTCTATATATTAGCAAAACTCAAATCTAAAATTTCACAGTCATTTAGGAGTCTAGAAAAGTTTAGCAGCATTTCTGTACCTCAAACAGTCGTGCATGCTGCTAGCAACAGCAATATCATGGGTTTGATTCCCAAGGAATGCATATTTTGAATGCAGTGAGCATCTGCCAGATGCATGGATGTAAATGCATCAAAACAGTTTGGTCTATGAGTGATGTCAATACACAGTCAATAAAGACATCCTATAAATTATTTCCAAATGCCCAAAGCATACATATGCAAATGTATTACACTTTTTAACCTAGCCATAATAAAAGTGTGCAATACACATTTAAAATCTGAATTAAACATATACAGCAATGATGTGAATCCACTAGAAACTCCAGCAGTATCAGCAGATTTTGACAGATGCCACTGACTTCGCCTCTCAATGACTGGCGACTGGTATTTATAACATTTTTGTCTCTTCAACTGCTGTCAATCTCACAATCCCCCCGCTCAGTTTTCCTAGAGAATGAATTGAAAATGAACGCTCATCTCCACTCGCTTTGCGCCACGTATGGTTAAGCAAATAGAGCAAACGATAGAGCAGTAAAATCAAATTCTAACAAAGGTTGTTTGAAGGACTGGACGTGGGGACCAAAGACACTGAAAGACACAGCTACACTTTGAACTTGTAAGTACTACACCATAGAAAGACAGATTAGAATAATCAACCAATAGAAAACGACTGTTTCCCTGTAATTACAAAACAGACAGAGACGAAAAGAAACAAATTATATAAAGCATCACAATACACATCCTGTCACCACAGACACTAATGGGAAACAGATAGAGAGAGCATGGGGATGAAAAAGCTCAAGTCTGTTCATTTAGAAAAAAATGATTATCAGCATTTGTTATAAAACTCGCAGCTTTCGTGGATTGTATTATGTCTTCATAATTGGTGTCAGAGTCCAGTTTGGATTTGAAAAGCAATCCTAATTGACTAATGTGATGAGGGAATTTATGTGCAACAGGTGGGACAAAAGACTTTGTAGAGATGATATTTGTTGAAATATCAAAACTGTGTTGAATATTGTTTACTCAGGTGAAGTCAAAATCAGTGTATTAAGATTTGCTTTGTTAAATGCTTGATGGCTTCAAAACAATAACATATTTATGTATGCCACTGCATACAAGCAAAGCTAATAGAAGCACGATTACAGAGAATACATTGGGATTAAAGGGGAAACAAGGCACATTTTCATTTTAATTAAATATGTTTATCATTTATTTCAGAAGATATGGCTCACGGAGCGTGGGGGTTGAAGTAACCAGCTGATTTCAAAAGCGTGATGGGAATAGAAGAAGCAGAAGTGAGATGCATAGATAACATCATGCTGGGCATTATTACAGTGTTTCACTGTTAATTGCATTTGAGCTTTTAAACTTGACAAATAGTTGTTCTATTGTGAAGTGCAATAGCGATTTTTGTGAAAATAATGTAGCTAAACACAAATAGGGCTATGAAAGAAATGAGAGTTGATTTGTTGGAGTGTTTTTTCTTTATTTGAGAGTGTTTACATGCACATCAACATTAAAATTAAGCTAATTAGAACCTTATTATGCGAGAAATGTGTTTACACGAGATTACATGTTTTTCCCTCCAATGTTGATGCCAGTTTATTAAGCAAATCACAAAAGTGTCTGATAAATACATATAACTGTTCATTTTTCAGTTTTGCTTTATTTGTTTATTTACTTGTTCACTGTAAAAAAAATTCTGAATGTCATATACAGTTACTTAAAAATGAAGATGAAACTGGTTAAATTATTTTGACGAGCTCAAATAAGGGAAAACATATATTGTTATTAAGTTCTGCATTCTTACAAGAAACTTTGCAAAGGTTTTGTGAGCCAATGCAAAAGCACTAAAATATAATTTTTCCACCTACAGTAACTCCCATCATCATGTCCCTTTAGGGGCATTCGCTGGTTGGACACACAAACTACCCATGATACATGGCAAGATTAAAGACAGCAACTCTGTGGAAAACAAATGACACTTTTACATTCAAATGACAAATGCAGTATGCTAATGCTAAGGCTGTTTGTTTTTCAGAAAATGAAACTCACTTTTCAAGGTTTAACGATGTACTGTACACAACAACAAAGATGTTTGCTCTGGAAGTAAGTAAACTTTCTTTTACAAAAAGTCAGCGCTCTACACCTGCTGATTAATCTGTTGCCCTTTTCCGCCCGCTAGCAAAGGAACCTGCCCAAAGATGACTTCTGGTGCCACCACATGGAGCTGTTAAACTGGAGCTCTGCTAAAACAAGCACATTGTGGAGTAAGAAGCAGTAAGTAAACTTTTTTTTTTTTTTTTTTTTTGCTTCACCCCGGGAAAAAAACAGAACTGTAGATAGTTCACAGAAAATGTAAACTTATATTTTCCCACAAACCCTGGAAAAAAGGTAACTTTGACCATGTTTATTGTAGGTTCAGGCATACGTTTATTCACACTATACCTAGATGTTTATTCTGGTAGATAATGTATCTTTAAAATACATATACACAGTATACAGCTGCAGGGTATTCTTTTATTTTAGCTATTTTATTCCATATAGAACTTTTCTATTTCTGCCTTCCTTTTTTTTTGTTTGCTCAATAAACATACATAAACTTTAAGGGAACCTTAAAATAGTGTACTGAAGATTTTGAAATATTATGTACTATAACTACATCTGGTATGCAGGGCAACTGAGTTCGCTTTGGAGCATTTTGTCCACTCTCATTGAGTCAGCTTTTTGCTGTACTCTATTAATAGGCACAATGACCCCTCAAACAAAAGGGTCAGTTTGCATTGGTGCCTCCAACAAGCCCAAGCCAGAACTGTGTACTCACTGAAAAAAAGGTACAAAAACAGCAGCAAGCTTTTCGGCTAACCTGATAGTGACTAGCTGGTTCCGGCAAACCCAACTTACACGGTAAGAGATGACTTCTCGGGATTGAGATGAATTTGCATATAAAAGTTGTATTTACCAACACAATGTATGTTAGAAGAGTTTTAGTTTTGCTATTTGCAGTGCAACAAGTCACACATGTGGAGTCTGTAAATCTGGAATGCTTTTCAGTTTAACCTGAAAAACCATTCAAATGAATAAATGACCAAATGAATCACATGAAAACATCTTTAACTCAGAAATTGCTAGTAAATTTCAAAATAACTAAGAAACAGCAAGTAACACATTTAATTAAATGTGAATTTTTGAAGAATGAAATAGTATTTCCTTGTAAAATGTGAAACAATAACCTTTATTAAATTAAAATCTGTTTTTACAGTGTAGAAATATTTCAGACTCTGCACTAAATAACTAATCAAATAAACAAGTTTGTGACGTTGATTATGTGAACATTTTTGTATAGGCAGTCAGATATTTTTGCTCCAACTGAAGCACAAAATATTCTTTGGAACATCTGAAATTATGCTGGAGAACATGATCATCAGATTTTGTTCATGCAGTTGGAAGCAAAAGGGTGACAATCCAAACACTGGAAATTCTGGAATTCATACAAATGTTCATCTTTTTTTAAATTCAATTATATATTTCTGGATAATATAATTTGTATGGAAGAAAAATTATTACATTACAAAAGACTGCAAACAGAATCAGACTTTTGGACCCCATAAAATAATTACCAAATGTCTGGTTTTTATGTAGGATGATGTCATTCCACACAAAAAAACGTATCACAAGTGTCAGTGAAATTCTAATTGAATTATTCTAATGATTATCTTTATAGTAAAGGATCAGTGGCCATTGAAAAGGCTCATTATGGAAGGCACCAGAGGACGCATTTTGCAGCTAATGGTGATGGGCGTTTTGCTGGGGTGAGATTCTTAATAATAATACCCATAATTCCAAAACCTCTTTCATAGTATCTTTTATAACAGATTACAGTTCTTATTCCATTTATAGTAAAGCAAAATCCATTTCACTGAAAAGAAAAGTCCTCCATCTCTTATCCAAAGTGCTTTTATCTCAGACTGGCCAAATGGATCTGTGTCTCTTTGTCTACCTGGTATTATCATGAGCAAATGAACCAATTATCTAATTTAATTATATCCATCCATTATAGATAAGCGCGAGTGTTTTCACAGTAATCTTGTATCTTTGTAGCAAGACAGATAAGGACATATTTTTTTGTCTGATGATGATCTGACTTCTGTTTGACCTCATAGCACAACCGTCCCGGGACACAGGGCCATCCAGACCCCTGACTATGATGACACCTCCACGCCTGAGATCCTGAACCCTTCCTGGATGGCCACCATCCCTGACGTCTACACCCTATCAGACGTGACAATGCCCGGGACACACAACACCATGGCCCTGTACGGCGGCACACTGGCCGAATGCAACTCCTGGTCCCTCGCCCTCCAACTCCGCGCCGGAATCCGCTTTCTGGATATCCGTGTTCGCCACGCCAAAGGCAACCTGACCATCCACCACGGCATCTCGTATCAGTACGCTCACTTTGGGGACGTGTTAATGGACGTGGTGGCTTTCCTAAGGGAGTATCCTTCAGAAACGGTGTTGATGAGGCTGAAAGAGGAGTTGAGCGACACGCAGGATATTTACAATGCAGTGGTACGCTATATTAATGAGTATGCACACTGGGACCTGCTGTGGCACAGTCGTGAGATGCCCAGCATGGGAGCGGCGCGAGGAAAGCTGATCGTACTGCAAGACTTCACCGGCCCTGACCTGGGAATACGCTACAACTCACTGGACATAGCAGATGACTGGAAGGTAAGGACACACTGATGGGTTTGTTAATATGGGAGGGATTTTTCAGCTTGTGGAGACAATAAACTCTCTTAGAAGACACTTTCACACTTTTACTGATCCAACAAATGTCATTTCAACCTTTGAAATTCAATAAACGATGGTAATGGAAGTGCATTTTAAACACTTTTGGAATAAAATTGCTGACAGTTGCTTTGATGGGAAGTCGTGGCCTAATGGTTAGAGAGTCGGACTCATAACCCAAAGGTTGTGGGTTCGAGTCTTGTACCGGCAGGGATTGTAGGTGGGGGGAGTGAATGTACAGCGCTCTCTTCCACCTTCAACACCACGATTGAGGTGCCCTTGAGCAAGGCACCGAACCCCCAACTGCTCCCCGGGTGCCGCAGCAAAAAATGGCTGCCCACTGCTTATTTATTTTGAAAAATTGATACTTAAGACTGGTTTTGTGGTCCAGGGTCACATATTGACTACAAGTGATTTTGCATTATTTTTTCACATGTCATATTTCATATCTCAAGTAATGTGTATAAAAATTTAAATAAATATATTACCATTCATTAATAACAATGAATTATCAATTATTAATAATTAAATCAATATAATAATAATAATAATAATAATACATATTTCTTGAGTAGCAAATCCAAATATAGAATTATTTCTGAAGGATCATTTGACACTGAAGACTGGAGTAATGGCGGCTGAAAATTCAGGTTTTTCATCACAGGAATAAATTATATTTTAATATGTATTCAAAGAGAAAACAGTTATTTTAAATTGTAATAATATTTCACAACATTACTGTTTTTACTGTATTTTTAATCAAATAAATGCAGCCTTAGTGAGTATAAGAGATCAATTTCAAAACCATAAAATCTTACTGATCCCAAACTATTTAAAACGATATTTATAATTTAAATAAAAAATATTGAAATGTATTATTTCACTATTTGCCATGAAAGGTAGCTTCCATGCTTTCAAGACAGTTTTAATGTTTAGTGTTTTCTTGTTCATATAACCAAAATTAAAAATAAAGAAATAAATTAACTGCTGGAACATACTGTAAAAGTAGCCAAACCCAGGAAAACGAGCAATGGAGTGGGAGACAAAATATTAAATTAAACGTTTGAGTCATTTCAAAGGGTTCTGGAAAACAGACTTACTGAGATCCTTAGGAGACTCTTTTTTAGTTTCCAGAGTGTAATCTTCATCTGTCAACTGTCTTTAGAAATCCATCAGAGCGAGTTTTACTCCCTCACCACGTTTTTGAAATTGTACTGATAAAAACTTTTTCTCGCCCCAGGTGTCCTCTGTGCAGCCGGAGGAAGTGGAGAAGAAATGGAAAAGTGTCTCCACTCATCTGGAGGCGGCTGCGGTTGGTAACAAAAACCGAATGTTCCTCACCTACAGCAGCGGTGCCAGTATCCTGGCACATCCCAATGCCCTGGCCCAGCTAATAAACCCCCGCCTGCACGAATATTTGACAGGCTATGTCGGTCAGAGGAAGCGGTTTGGTATTGTAGCAATGGACTTTCCTGGTGCCAAGTTAGTGCAAACTATTATAGGCTTCAATTATTGAGAGACAACGGCAGGACGTCAGGACCAATACACCTGCAACTCACCAAAATACTTCATTAATTGACACAAATCCCAGGTATAACTGTGACTCAAATTACCCATACCCTTGAAATTTCCATAACCGTGACAGAAAAAGTTTGAGCTTGCTGGCAAATTTTGCAATATCTGACTTAATAAAGCACTTTGACAAATTTCTGTCATAACACCATGTCATGACAAAAATTGAAATAAAATGCTCTCCTGTCACTTCATAAGGACTTTAATAAGATAGTCTGCATTGTCATGGCACTCAAAATAGAATGCTCTGTCCTCTTTTCTCAGAACAGTGTTCAGCAAGCTGAGTTCACACAAAGTACAACAAAGTTGTTTTTCAGTAGTATTACATAAAGCTCAGATGTCACAAATGGAAATTTTCTCAACTAACACTATTTGTTTTATTTTCTGTTCTATTTCAAGAACAAGCTCAAGTTTAATTCGAGTTAAAGCTCTATTAAAATTCAGTCTGATTTTTGAGCGAAAGTGCCATTCGCTCAAAAATCAAACTTAACTGCTTGCGCGAACACACTGAACAGTATTACAATGAACATTTTCAGACTTTTAGGATGATGTTCCATCCACAACGAATATGTAACAAAAAGAACATCATAAATCATTTGGTTCTGGTATTCTGGTATTAGCCCATTCGCACCAAGTATGATTTCCAAAATGATGAGCATTTATAAGGAAAAGTCAGAATTGTGAGATGTAAGCTCAGAATTGCAAGATATAAAATCAGAATTGCAAGATGTATACTCATGCTGCCTTCATGTGCTATCAGAATTATCGTAAATGTGAGTTTTCTAGTCTGAAATGGGATATGTACGGCCATAGAGAGGCCACAAAAGGCACCATCAGAATTGTAAGATATAAAATCAGAATTGCGAGATGTAAACTCAGAATGGAATGATATAAACTTAGAATTTCTGACTTACTTTCACACAGTTCCGAATAGATCGCAATTCTTTTTTTTTCTCAGAATTCTGAGTTTACATCTCGCAATTGCTTTTTTGTTAATAGCTCTGAGTTTATATCTCGCAAGAAAGAAGGAGATGTAAACTCAACTGAATTGCAAGAAAAAAGTCTGAGTTGCAATTACCTTTATTTTTTATCCTGTGGCAGAAACAAGCTTCCGTAATAAATAGCTAAAACAATAACTATAATTTTTAGCAGTCGCTCTAATTCAATGAGAACAGGAGAGTCTACAGCTATAACAATAACAACACAGAGGAAACTATATTGTTGGAATCACTTTCAGAATGATTTTTTTCTAGCTGATGAAAGAGCATGGCAGACAACATGACTGCAGCTCATGCTTATAATAAACAGACCATTTTTGTCCGTCGGTGCAACTGACATCCATCTAGCAAGCTGAGTTAACACAAAGTAGGAGAGAAGTTTGTTTTTTAGTAGTATTACATAAGTCTCAGATGTTACAAATGGAAACTTTCTCACACTAACACTATTGGTTTTATTTTCTGCTCTATTTCAAGGACAAGTTCAGGTTTTAAATCAAATCTCTGCCACAGCGGTGTAGCGCTGTTGTTTGCCCCCGATCTCAATGACAGGGTATGCAATGAGTCATCTGTGCAAAAGAAAATGTTTAATGCGTGCAACACTGAAATCTGCAGGTAATATATAATAATATAGCCTTCAATCTAAACATATATTGAATGTAATCTGACCGAACCACTCAAGGAAATCTGTATTTGTTCAAGCATTTATGTCTGAGGTGATTCATTGCTCTTATTTCATGTTACATGTAAGCATGATAATGAATTTATACCTGGTAAGCACTCATGCATCACCAATGCTTTTTAGAAGAGCATTTGACTGAAAGTACTGTTATGCTAACCTAGAATGAAGGCCACACAAACATAAGATTCAAACTTTACATCCGCAATGTGCTTGCATGAATTCTGGTCTCAGGTGAAGCTTTTACAGAAAGCCTCGGCCGTATATGAGGCACTTGACAGTTAACCGGCGGTGGAACGCAACAGGAGGTAACTAGCTTTACATCTTCAGTGTCACGCTTCTGCGTTCCATCATCTCTTTCCCCGTGTCTATGCCATCAGATGAGCGTTCCCATCCCTGGCTCTGCACACCCGGGTAACAAGGCACGGAGAATGACACCCCATGAGAGGAACAGAAGGATGACAGAAGGTGTGTGAATGTGTTTAGCTCTGCGTCCAAATCGTTTTTCCTCCCTCTGCTGCATGCAGATTGGGACAATGAAAAAGTGGGCTGCGAAATTGATGCAAGACAGGCTGTGACTGCAGGCGGCAACAAGGCCGTCAAACATGCTTTGAGTGAAAGACACCAGTGTTGTTACTTGGGGTGGGAATCATAACAAGTTTAACGATCCTCTTAACGATTTTGGTTACTTAACAGTTAACGATACTTTATAAAGTAAGAACAATTTGGGATACAGAAATGCAATTCTGTTGCCAAAAGATGGGATTATTTTAAGAATAAATGTAAAACGACAGATTATTGTAACATTTCATTCATCCCTTTATTAATATATGATGAAATAAATGACTTACTGTGGTTCATTAAGTGACTCTGATTAGTTGTGACGCTGAGTAGTTTGTGATTCACTCAAAAGAACCGGTTCATGAGAGTCTTTCACTCGGGAATCAGACTTTACTGGTTGACCTATATGTTTTGATTCACTGATAAGAACCTGCTGCATGTTTCTGATTCACTGAAAGAACTTACTCATAACCTTCTTTTGCTCCGATTCACTGGTTTGGCTGTATTATTTACTAACAAGAAAAGACTCATGTGAATCATTTACCTGAGAATCGGACTTAAAGGCACAATATGTCATTTTCGCCGCTGGAGGGTGCGTATTCAAAATAAACAAATAGACAAGATAATGTAAGTACACAAGTCAGCAAAATATATAACAATGTTCTAGTGGTTTTTGGATATTTTAATAAAAAAATCTTACATATTGTGCCTTTAATGTGTTAGACAAAATCCTCCTTCGTGGATGGTAAAATAGTTATCTTAATATCGTTTTTAGTGTGAACAGACTTTTATTCAGAACCGTTTCCCGGTTCCCAACTCTAGTTGATACAATATTGCGGAGCAGCGGGACAATTGGCTTGTTCGATCAATGGATGACAGAAACCTGTTTGAAAACAATGTTTATTTTTGCAGTTCAGTTGGACATAAATGAGTTTTTCTGTTACTTTTCTCTCTTCCAGAGTGGAATTAATATCTCCATTTCTCCTAATATGCGAAAGGGGAACATTTTCAACTGCATTTGTCAAAAAAAATAGAATTCATTATATAGAATTATTGTATTATTATATAAATTACTTCTTTTAAAAATGTTTGGTATTATGGTATGCATTCAAAAAAGTAGTCTGCTTGCATAGCATGCAAAAACAATTTTACTTGAATTTTAGATGCCCTGCTGCACGAAGTAAATAACGCCAATTACAGCCGTCAGAACACATTTCAGCAATAGAGTGCGTCATGGTGCTTAAATCAATCTGTCTTTTAGCCTGAATGGCCTTTAATGACAAGTCATTTGTGCAGTGCAACCCTTGCTGGTCTGAATATGTCGTGCTCAGTGTGCATTAGCTTGGCTGAATTGATTTTCCCATGTAAAAAAAATAATAATCTTAGAGGGTGTTAAGCCTGGTGCGGTCATTTACCTGTTCCCTGCTTTGTCCTTGAATATTTCTGGTCTGATTTGTACAAATTCATCATCGACTTTCTTTACTTGAGTCATAAGACCTAATTGTAAGGCACTTACAAAAAGTGCCTAGGCATTAAATTGCACTGCCATTAGCACAAATTAAACTTCCTAGGCAAAACTAGTTAATCAGGTCCAGTGCTATAGACTGTTGCTAAGGTATGACGTTTCTAACAGCACTTGAACTAATAACCTTACTGGCTAACATGTCCGTCTTTTACAAGAATCAAAGACAATTATACTCTGTTCCTAGCTAGTTAACTAGAATTAGCAAACAGACAGAATATTTATCCTTGTGCTGTGCTGAAAATCCTTTACCTATTTTGGTGTTCCTAGATAAAAATGGCTGGCCTTTTAAAAATTGCTTATAAATCTGTCATTATGGTATATTATCATCAAATCTTGGATTCAATCTTTTTGTCAACTTGATTTCTTTCAATTGGCACAGGTTTTGTATTATTTTTTATTTTTTTGAACGGATTGATCACAGGCGTCATTGATCTGAGTTTATGCACCTCAGTTCTTGAGTGGAAAAAAAGCATTATTTGTGAATAATTTAATTCAAAGCTCAGATCAATGAGGCCTACAATCAATCAGTCCCAAAAAGAAATACAACACCTGTGCTAATTGAGACAAAACGAGCTGACAAAAAGATTGAACCCAATATTTGGTAATAATAATGCATAATGAGAAATGTATAAGCAATTTTTAAAAGGCTGGTCATTTATGACTGGGAACAACACAAGTGTAACAAGGTGGGAAAAAATAAAAAAGTACAAGAAATTTCTTTTTTTTTCTTATACCCTTAGTTACAACCTATTATTTTTATTTTATTTTATTTTATTTATTCAAATGGTTCCTTTCAAAACTAATTTGGGCACAACTTTTGCTAAAATCATTTTAATGCATTTATTCATAACCTAATGTCTTTAGTTATGAATCTTTAACAAGCTAGTTCAAAAAAAAAAAAATCACAATTTACTCATCTTTGTATTGTTTAAAAACCATGTGATTTTTTTGATTTTTTTTTTTTTTTTTTTTAAGATTTAAGTCATTATTCACATAAAATCTTGTCATTTTCCACAGATCTCAAATGCCATTTATGGTCACCCATATTTAAATACGCTCTGTGTAATATGTGTGTCATGACAATCACAGTCCACTTACATTGTAAGGAAAAGCATATAGATGTCAAATTCCTCAGAGTATAATTTTTAAAGGTTTCGAAAATGACATGAGGGTGAATAAATGCTGACTGAATTTACAGCAGACTGTAGGCCTACTTGTCTCCCATGACACTTATACGTTTGGCTGTTTTAAATTGTTTTGACCTTTTGCTCTAAACATATTAAGCTGCATTTGAAATGCGCATTCTAGATAAAATGACTGATGGATACAGTATTTGGTATTTATCATTTTTATTTCCTTCTTCCTAACTTGATTAGTGAAAAGG